ATTGAAATTTGAAAATTTGATATAAAGATCTTAAGGTTAGTACTGTGGAACATATAAGCTAACTGTGCCGCAGCAAAGCTGAGTATGAGGAACGAGAATTCAATAGGGCAAAGTGGAATATCAACCACAACGGTTGTGCTTCACCTTTGAAAGATTTGTCAGTCAGCAGCGACAAATTTTTTATTTCGTCAACTGAGCTGCATCGAACTAGTAGCGAACTGAAAATTAGTAATTCTTCAGAAGAATATAATCTTAAAGTGGTGATGCGTCCTAAAGGTTATCAACCAACAACCCAGGCCAGTGAAGAAAAGCTTGAAAGTAAACGAATAGTCATGTCAGGAAAAGTTCAAGTGTATATTGACCTTCTGGTAGAAAGTTTGTAGAAACAATTAGAAAATGTAAAAGAACTGGAAGCAGTACAAGATGAGAGTAAGAATCAACAAAGACCATGTTAGTGTTACTGAAGAAGCGGGTCGAGATAACCATTAAAAGTACTGACGAGAAAAATAAAAAATGGAGCGATACTTTGACACCCCTAATGAAATAAACGACTGGAGAAAGCGTTAGAAAGCAGTTCCCCAGAGTTAGCCTAAGAAGAATATTTAGCAATGCAAGAAATAGATACACTAGTGGGAATTAGTGAACGATCTGAGCCAGAAAGAAGCCAGATAATACAACCGTGTGATAGGCGTCAATTAAAACTTTTGGGGAATCTAATCAAACTAAGTTTAAAATGCTCAATTTGCTTACATTTTTCTCTTTGTCCTTCTAATCTTTCATAAACCAAAAACTTTGGCTTCTCAAATACAGCAGCTCAAGATCGCCGTTACAACGAGCTATATTTGAATAATTTTGCAAAATTCTCTTCACTGTGCAGTTTCACTACAACAGTAGACGGCTTCAACTATCAACTGAACAAGCGAAATGTTTCTTTACTCTTTTGCCACTGAAGAAAGCAAGCGACGAATTCTACAAGTTAAATTTTGTGCCTGTTGCCGTTTCGCCGATATTACTAAAACAGCAAAAAGTTTCCAATGATTACTCATCTCCAACACCTAAACTTGCCATGTAAAACACATTTTTTTTTCTTAAAAATAACCATTCCCGTTTCTAGTAAAAGGCTTACTGCCAGATAAATCAGCCCCAGACAAGCAAATATCAGTGGAAACCTTACAAACTCAGTGTAACAATTATTACGCAGGTAAAACATCATTAAGCTGTTGTTAAAAGAATACTAAGCGTTTTTGGGATATTACCACACCGTTATCATGATCTTAAAAAAATGCCAGAAGTAGTTAAGCCTGTTGCTTAAATTTATCAGTAACTGAATGCAGATCTCGATCTAGTTTATTGGCAGAAATACCTAACATTACTCAAAACCTGGGCCGTTCAAGAAGCAGGAGAACTCTAACTGCGTAATTTTCTTCTCAGTACATGTTCATAACAACTTTTGTTATTACTAGTCAGAAGCAAGACAAGCGGCTTATTGGAATTTCGTACAGTTAGTTCTGCATTTTCAAAAGCAGCATCAAAACTGCAACAGTTTTCTGTTTGTATTTCTGAAACCATCTGCTGCAGCTCTAGTTGCTTCGACTGTGTAGTTTTATGTGCGCGTTTCAGATTGCATAATTTGAATAAAGCACACTTGAGTTATATTCCATAATTTGGACGTGGTTTCAATACAAACTGAGCTGCTATATCGGTATACTTAGCATCGATTGCACGTTTTTGGGCATTCTTGAATCATGAGGTCGTAGTAAAGTGCGTCGTTTATGGCATCCGCAGACTGTACCATGAAAGCGGACTTCTGATTGGCATCATCCGTTCCAGCCAATCAATATGGTGGGGTCACCAGTCTAGATGAGAGCGGACAGCTCTTTAAAGTAGAAAGCAAGCTGGGGTATTCCGGCAAAAGAGGAAGTGACCGTACTAGGAGAGGTTTAGTTGCGCCTAAAATCAGCTCAAATTAGGTTGCTCGAAGGATTAGAAGTTCCGCCACGTATGCCTCCATTTTGGAAATACCCTAAATTACGTACAATGCCAACACTGCAGCTCTTTATCTCTTGGAGGTCGAGCTAGAATTAACGCAAATTACACGAAATGCCATATCAATGCTGACAATTAAGCCCAGAGAGAATACCAACAAAATTGAAACGATTTTTTTGTTGGAAGACATTTAGGTGCAGAGGTGTCGTTCAATCTGGAAAAGAAATTTTTTTACTCTTTTCTAAGCGGAAGGAGAAAAGGAGAAAATAACAGTGCGAGGTCACGAAAGCAAAATACCGTCGGCGAACTGAAAAAGAGTGTCGGTGCCATACAGGAAATAGCACCCAAATACGTGTAGCGAGGGAGGCACGATTTATTACACGAGAAGAGGCTGTAGAGGAGTATCGCCGCAGGCACAGGAAGCGACGGTGAGATGACGTGTTCGGGCTAATTTAGGGGACTATTGCCTGGAAGCCAGATGACACTTGCTACGTGAATAGACCGTTTGTTTACTAACAATAAAATTAGTCATTTATTTCCAATTCGGTGTTAAGCTACGGACGGTCCGAGTGGGCCTGCAGTCTGAAGTTTTGGCTTAAGTTTTAATTCTTATTATTGTTTTCCTGATTGTTATTTGTCGCGGTTATTACGAACGATTTGGCTTAATTATCATCAATGCGTAGTAGTGTCGTATTTCTAACAATAAAGTTTAATTACCCAAGTTTGAGGTTTCGAAAACCACTATACCAACTACGAGCTTAAAAGGAAAAAATCATTTGCTTTTATACAGGGGTGGGAGGGGGGGAGGGAACCGGAGGTCTCACACTGCAATGTGGACTAAGGGCTGGCATAAAAGAACCTAAAATCTAAAAATCAGAATCTTTTCGGGAGAAAGAAGAAAATTGCTTATTTTTATGCCCAATCTCAATTTAGTTCTTTAATCAATATTCTTGTTATGTAGAATTCCCTTTGGAATATTTATTGTGAAACTTTCTGTAAGTTGTGGCTGCTCGGCAGTTTGTAGATTCTTTTGGTTCGGAGGTTAGTAATTGATAACTGGTTTTTTATTTCAAGAATTCTATATTGTCACTGACTGTACTACTAATCACTTAGCAATGTAAAAATTATACTCATAACAAAAGAGGATTACGAACAGGAGTTCAGGATCTTCTTAGTTACAATGTAACATCACTCACAATCTAAAAGTTGCTTTGAATTGTGGGATTAGGAAGGTCTGAGCAAAAACGGGTTGTTAAGCACAGGCAGAAGTACAACACCCTGAGAAATCACACATTCAAACGGTATTAGAACAAATCGGAGTTTGCTATAGCTATCCGCCATCTCATTCTCCAGTGACCTGGTGTTAGTAGCATTAGAAAGTGCGCAATGAGATCCAGTCCATTAATAGTGTATTATCCAGTAAAGAAATTAATAAGTTGAAGGCCCTTGGAGGCCTTCAACTTATTAATTTCTTGTGCTGTAATACGTGTTCTCCAATTTAAGGAATTGTCGGCAGTCGTGAAAAAGGAGAAACAAAGATAAAAATTTAACAATTTTGTAACAATCATTTAAAAAGAACAATTTTGTAAAACTCAAGTTCAAACCTAGCAGGTCTTTTACAAATGCTTTGATTTTCAAAAAAAAAAAAAGAATATGGTGTTGGTCATTTAAAAACCACTGATTGTTTTGTTCAACTCTAGAAAAGAATCTGACCGGTGCCAAAATACGTGCCAACCATCGCAAAAAAGATGCAATGGGTGGACCCGCCAACACTTCAGAGGAGTTGGTAAACCTCTAGGTTTTTTATACCTAAGCTTTCTGCAACAACAAAATTTTTTGCTGAGGAATCTGAGCTGGTTTTATTAATTTTTAAAGATAAAATAGTTGAAGTGTTAGGGTGGTAAGGGGTTTACGTAACACGGCATCGATGATTTTACTTTAATTTTAGTTTCGTTGTTTAACAAAACCTGACTGACGTATAAAGGAGGAGTAATGAATGTTTTAACTGTGTCACTTTTGTATTTTCAAAAACAATAAAACCCTGAGCAAAAAATTTTCAAGGCGATGCTTTCCTTGCGCTTTTATTCACTGCTGAACCTTATCGATAAGTCTCAGAAAAGACTAGTTAATAAAGTAAGGTAGGGAAGGTAGAGTAAACTCAAAATGCGAAAGTCCAGGTAATAAAAGGACTAGGAAAAAACTTGCAATATAAACAACAGAAAATTGAAGTGGACATATGTTTTGCGGTGAATAAGTGTATCTTTGACAGACCTGTATTAAAACTTCCGAGAAGTTTCTAAAAAACCACGTGAATTACAATTTTAAAAACGAATGAAACTCTAAGCAGCTGTAGTGTAGTTAGGGCTAGACAGTTGAAAGAAATGTGGGTGTCCTAGACTGGATTTTTGAATGTGCTTCTCAGTCTTTGCAGTCCGCTGACTAAATGTGAATAAAAATTTATACTTTGATCTTTTTTTTGCGTATCATCGCCCTATCGCCTCTTTTTTTCGTTTTTTGTAATCTTATTCACTAGAAACAGCATACAAAACTAGTTTGGCATATTAAAAACTCAGTCCTCACTTCCTTTCAACTTTCAAGAAAGTGGAAACGGTTAAGTAAGGTGTGGAAATACTTATTGCCAGCAATTAAAAAGGGAAGTTTACAACCGTAAGCAGCTGTTAAGAAGTGTTATTCATCATCTATGACTTTTAAACCTGGTGTTAATTAGAACAAAATTTACGTGAAAAGAATGAAGCTTGAGATTTTCGTCAACACAAAGCTTTTGCCACTTTTGTCAGATCCAGTAAAAAGGTATGAAAGATATCAATCTTAAAGAACTTTTTCAGTGTAAAAGAACAATTTATTACTTTTTGTGGATGCAGACTGCCGATTTAACCAACTACAATTTGGCGGCTTCAAGTGTTCACAGCATTTTTGAAACCTTTTGCTCAGCTTTATTTAAAACACGGAAATGATTTCGCAGTTCAGTAGTAAAATTAACATAAATTCTCGTTTTAAGCCTTGATCACCTTCTTCGCACGATGCCTTCTTCTCTTCTTTTTCTTCTTTCTCTCGTAATCTTCCTCGCTAGAAACAGCAGACGAAACTGACGTGGCCGGGATGGTACTGATCAAGTTTCTGTTCTCTTTGTATGAGACTTCGTTTAGAGTTCCTGAAATTAATGTTGCTGTACCACTGTTATTACTGCCACTTTCAACTGCGCTTGCAAACTCACCAGTACTTCGTCCTGTGTTGGTCCGTTCAGCGACTAGCGACGGTCTTGAAGCGGTTGACGAGGCCACACTGCCAAAACCAAATGAACCTCCTGCATTTAGTGCAACACCGCCTTCAGATGCGGCTTCACTCAAGAACCGCTCTGGGCAACGATCACAATAGAAGGGTACAAGATTTCCTGGTTTTCCTGGATTTCCTAGAGGTCCCTGAGGTCCCGGAGGCCCTGGACGTCCTGGTAGCCCAGGTGGCCCTGGTGGACCTGGCTTACCTTGCGCTCCGACAG